GTGCGCGCTGTATCATAAGGTATGTCACTGAGTCAACTGGCGCGGTTTCGATTCCCCGGTTGTACGTGACAAGGAGTAGGGTCGCCTGTCCAACCTCGTGGGTTTTCTCCGGGTCCTCTGGTTTCCTCCCACTGCTAAAGACGCCTACGTGAAGCGAATTATTGAAATAAAATTGAACCATGTGTTAGTCCCGAAATGACATATAGTTTGTGTCGAGTGGACGTCAAACCCCATTCCTCTCTCTCTCTCTCTCTCTCTCTCTCTCTCTGATCTTGACAGTAGGTCCTGCTGGGTTTTTTTTGATACCCGTATTTATAGTATTTTTTAATTTTTTATAGCGACGGACTAGTGCACCCGTGGACTATCCCCCCCACCCTTCGGTAGCGAAGTATAGAAGCATGACAAGCAAGGAAAAGTGTCCAGTCGTTCCGTGGACCGACAAAAACGAGGTCCCATCTACAAATTGAAAGCGCACATATAAGATCCTCTGGCAGTTGCAATTCGAAATAAGAGTAGGCTTTAGCGCAAATTTAAAAAATAGTACATCATATGGCTTAAAGTAGCTAAGTCTCTAACTCAATAACATCCCAAATCTTCAACATTGAAAATACGAATTATTTTTCAATTTAAAACAACATTGATGCTGTGATCTTACCGGAAAAAGATGGGCTTCTGATATCCAATATTTAAGACAAAATAAATATTTTACCATTGGAATACGAATCGTGTACCATAATGCGTTTCAGCCCCAGTTCTAGCAAGAGACTCGAGGAACGAGGCTAGACATATTGCACCAAACCAAACGGCGTATGTAGACTGGAATAACCAGACGCTAGGAATTTGCATTCGATTGAGACTGCTGGCTTATTTCACGGAACATAACTGATTTGAAATTAGAGTAAAAACGGAAACGATTGAATGTAAATCAGTTTATATACATTCATATTACAGTATTATATGAGTTGCGACCCACCTGTGTCAATTTCTAGGTCCCAAATGTTAACGATTTAGCTCCTTTAAGCCCCCGTCTCTGTTGATTGGTGAAGGAGAGAAGGCGTTACCTGGTTGGCACAGAAAAGTTTACTTATAAGACATTAAACCAGCAGCATTTCATTGCTTTAATCATGGATTAGTCACGTTCTAGTATAATAATATAAGCATTCCACCTCCTAATTTATTTAGACTATCTATGAGACAGTTTGTTTGGGTTGTTGGGGGGGGGGGGGAGTTTCACACGCAATCTGTAAGCTCATTGGTCCACCAAATTATGTTCTTTTCAAATTTTACAACTAGCAGAACTTACCAATTTGGGACCGACGACACAACTGTTAAAGCTACAAATGTAGCAGTATTTTCAAAATAAACCCCGCTTCATATTTTTTTTTAATCAGAACCACCCATGTATAAGATCGGTAGTAAATATTTAAATTAATATAAGAGCGTTTATTGATCTATCTCTGCAATCTGTCATCGTGTGGTCTGTGGTTATTGTTGGTGAACAATTTCTGGGGACTTGAGCCAACAATACTATAATGAGCATAAAATCGATAAATTATATCCGTTTCTTGAAATGAGACTTGGTTGAACAACACTACCGTCTGAGGTAACTAATTGTGTCTGTCTATAGTATAAAACTATTACTTACATTATTTGTTAGTGCGCCATATATTATTAAAGCGATAGTCATTTGAAATAAAGATGATCTTTTTTATATGATTATTGTTTCAATTTCCAGTCAAAGCATATAGAATGTAAATGCGTCTTACCCAAAGAAATGAAATGGGGTTTAAAGTCCTACTTTTCTGCACCAACCGGGATAATGAAGACGGGCATGCACCTGGACAGCGGTGCTACGGCCTAATCTTAGATCGACTTCCAATTGTCAAGGGTTCTTTTACGTGCACACTAATGTTTACACGGGCCCTTGTTTTTTTTTCAGTCCCATTCCAACTATTAGACAACTGTACTTGTCAGGGCCTCCATCCTGCACCACTGACATGGGAAAACGCGCCAGAAAATTTCGAGGAAATACATCTTACCCAAAGACACATACATTATAAAAAAAATAGGCTTTTTTGAACATATTTTTTGTCTATAAAAGTGTAAATATCGCATACTATTTTATATTCAAAGCAGAACCTATAAGTATAATACAGAAATAAATGTGAAGGAAAAACGCAAAATATTGGTGCTCCGATGCTTAATCTTTCAACTCCTTTGTTGTCTTTATGCTCATCCGTATTACCATTTTGTGTCTCAGTGACTGAGGCGGTTCACTAACCAGGAGATTCGGGATTTGATCGTTACCCGGAATTGTCGAGCGTTGTTACCCCCTTATCAGTGGCGCAGGACAGGAATCCTGACAAGCGCCATAGTCGTTCGGGTGATACTAAACACGTTGGAGTGCACGTAAAAGAACCCGTGACCGTTGGAATTTAATTACTGTCCGGTATGCGCAGGCACTTTATAGAATTTGGTGCCCCATAATAAACCACAAAATAAATTTGCATTTGTCAAAATGGGGTTTATCGTCATCATTAATAGCTCATGCGTATGGCATGACATTTTTTTTATTATAGTGGGGCAAATACTTCGCTGAGAACTGGAAAAAGCCTATTTAGTTATCCATTACACTTGTAGCACAAAGCACGGGTAAATCTATTTGTTAAGACCAGCTCAACTTTTGTCAAGGTCGCTGAGATGTAAAAACGTTTACGGCACGTGATTGTTGACGAGATTGTGGTTAGGGTTAGGGTAAGCATTGGGGATAGGTCCAGGGTTAGGGCTAGGGTTGGGATTAGCGCTAGCCGTTTACATCTCGTGACCTATGACAAAAAATTGAGCTGGCCTTATCATTTAGCACTAACCCACAAAGCACAGGTCGTTCACATTCCATAACTACATAAAAATGAAATTTAATTTCTCGTCCGTGAGTGTGTGTGTGTGTGTGTGTGTGGGGGGGGGGGGGTTGACTTAGAGACCAGTCCCTCCCGGATCCCACTATGCTATGTTTATATAGCCCTTCACATCCCTTAGAATATGTCCTGGCACTTTAGGGCTTGATCTCGCTTTAACTCCCTTAGAATATGTCCTGGCTCTTAAGGCTTATTATATATTTTCTTGATAACGTTGAGGGAATCAGGCAGGGTTAGGCATAAATGCAAAAACAAAAGAAGTCGGAAATGTGCCATACCTTCCGAAAAAGTGCACTTTCTTTAGAAAAAGTATCCGCGCTTCTGAAATAGTGGCCTCCATTCAGTAAACGTAACCTCGAATTTTGAACGTGCTACCTCTATACTCATAGAAATACCCGCGCCAATGTCATCATATTTCCATTTCCATAATGATACTATTGTGCCCTATTTTCCTGCTGCCCTTCCTTTGTTCCAACAAGATCCTGCGACACTTAAATAAAAGCCACACGACCCCCCCCCCTCCCCTGCTCAGCTACAGAAATTTTTTTGTAAAACAACCTTTTTTCTGAGAAAAGTGTCATAATTGTCCTTTCAAAGCGCGAGATAATGATACAGACATATGTGATATCACAATTAATGCTTTGCATCAATAAAACTGAATCACAATGTCATTGTATTAATTCATAATAAAAATTGACGTCAAACAGCATGTGGATTTCTGTTTAAAAAGCTCAGTGTGTATGTATATACGCCAAAACGACGATATAGACCATGTATTTCTAAAAAAAAATTCAAGCCGAGGGGGGTGGGGGTGGAGATACATTTTCTCAGGAACCTGGCAAACCCCCTCCTGCAAAAATTCCTGGATCCGCCTCAGGATAAAATATTTTAATCCATAGTCAGGTCAGTACAAATTCGTGGTATTCATGATTAAAAGAAAAGTAAAATTAGTGTTCTATTAGATTCCGAGTACTTTATTTTGCCAACTACCTGTCCGCCCGAAAAGTCACATTGCCCTAGAAAGTTAGCGGGGCAGCCCCCTCCAGCGCCCCACCCCCGGCCCCTGGCTCGTACGCCTATGAGCATACTCAAAGTTAATACGCTTACTGTAGTTATACCACGAACCCATTGGCATTCATTCTGTCATCATTAACTGCCTTGGCCAGGCTTAAAGTAAAAATTGTACACTGGAGCATCTAACACTTTTCTTACTTGGGCTTTACACCCTTTTAACACCATTATTTCTCGCTAGAGACATAAACCTGTAGGATTTTTCTTCGATAATCTTGATCATCTTTGTTCTTTGGGCTACGCACCGTCAGTAGCGAAGATAATGGAATGAAACTTGCCAGGTAGGGAATATCAGTCACTTTCTGCTCGGAGACCGTTTAAGTTTTGGTTGTTGCTAACATATGTACATTTTCAGATCTTCAGGAGTCAGGGGCCTGTTTCACGAAATTTTAACTAAGATAAAATCCAAATTTTAGTAATTTGATTGAATAATATTAGATTAATTTTAGTGCTTAGCCAATCAACATTGAAGTATCTACTAAAATTTGGATTTAATCTTTAGTTAAGATTTCGAGAAACAGGACCCAGGACTCGATCATAATCCCCTAACCAAGTGTCAAGGTCTGGAAAGCCTACCATGGCTCAGACAATCGACTAGCGCGTTCCACAGCGGCGCCCCCCCCCCCCCGTCTACTTTGGATACAGAAAAGTAATAACACGATTTTTATTAGTCTCAAAATCAACCTACAGAGCTGACTCGAATAAATTTAATTTTATTTTTCGTAATAATCTGGAGTATAAATATATTCTCTTTTTTTTAGGGATTGCCGGGTCTAAAAATATATTTTGACAAAATTTTAATGTCGAAATATAATTATGTTTCGATTGGGGTACAGTAAAACAAAATAATAAATAATCACTGCTTTCTTAAAATAAATCCATTCTGCTTTTCTTTTAAGGTGTGGGCGTACTTTTGTTAAATATTTCTAAAGGGCCAACATTTATTGGGGATTTGGTGTGGTGTATAGTTCAACTTCAATTCGACAACCGCGTGGTGTCGCTGTTGGTCTGTTTGTTGAAAATGGCCTTACTCGCGGTAGTTGTGTTAAAACCGCCTTGCGGACTATGAAGGGAATTGTAACCGTTAAGCTTGTACTAATGCAGTTTATAAATGGTAAGTACTAGTTTTATACTATGTTAGTGTCACAGAGACCAAATTTAGACTTGCACAATTGTTAAATCGGTCGGTCAGTTGAATATCATATTTGTCAATGGACAGCAATAGCAGTACCAGTAGGCTTTTGCCTACCCAATACAGACGACAGTGAATAGGTTTGGTTAGTAGAGTCACTGTCTCAATCATGTGTTGGTGTGTAGTAGAAAGACGACTGAAGCAAAGACAACATAATTTATAGTCTTTTAGTTTACCTATATAATATTGTGAACAAACGATTGAACGAACTTTTAAAAGCCGAAAGTATTGATTTTAACAAGAAATGTGCGCAACAATGTTACAAGTTTTACATGATGGGGTTATAATACTATATTCACCAGTAAAGATTTCGACTATAACAGTACTACAATGCAACACGGCCAATTGTCAATGGGTCATTCTGTAGGGTCAAACGACAGTCAACACACACAGCTTGAGCTCTGTAAAATCCAGGTTTTAGAATACTTGCTTACCTGAACTTAAAACTTGGCCAAAAAATGACTCACACAACAAAGTGTAGGCTAATTTTCTATTTCATTACATGTACCTTTGTAGTGGATTGGACTTTTGTTCAATGTTAGTTTAAAAGTTACAGACAAATTGTACCTATATTAGACAAGGTCATTGCTTTTATAAAATACAATTTAGTTAACTGACATTTATAATGATGTCTGGCCTAGTTTAACTTGTTTAATCCTGGAGTATTGAGGGTCATATACATATATTCACATAGGTATAGGTAAGCTTGTTGCAGTCAACTGAAGAACAACAATGATCTGTTGCACCTGTCATTGTGGACAATGGATGTCCTGGGTTTGGACACGCTCCATTAAAACTTTATATACAGCTAATTTAATTAATTGATATTAAGTCGACTAAACTTGAATGATTCCTCTTATTTAGGCAATAATGGCCTTAGAATAACTCACACAAACCCTCTCACCTCCAGGCAATATAAAATGTACTTGATGGTGTGAAGAAAGGAGATAATTGATCAATGATCTTGTTATGTGGGAAAAAATAGTATACCATGTTTTTTGTTTTGAGAAAATTGCAGCCAATTTATTATTGTTTTACACTACGGCCTCATAGAAAATAGTTGTCATGTTATAAGGTAAAAAAAAAAAAGAACTGTAAGACAACCGAAATAATTTAGAGCTGTAAAGATTTATTTTATAAATGGTGTTATATTATATATACCCATCGAGTTTTATATAAATGAAACTATTATATTGGTTTTTGTATGAAATTCAAGATCTGTGTTAATATAGCGTAATCATATGACAAATTTTAATTGAAGAAAGTAGATAAAAGACAAACTTTATTTAAAATAGAAATTGTGAAAAAGAAGTGTATCAGTTACTTTAATTAAGGTAATAGGCTTACAAAGTAAAATGATAGGCCTGGTTTCGTCCTAATATAGCAGACTCTGATTAACACAACATATATTTATAGAACTAGTACCTGTACTTCTTTTTTAGGATAAAAGTAAAAAGATTACTGAGTAGGTAGAAATGGAAATCGGGAGTTTATATTCCTACAGATATAGATTTTTTGTCAATAGATACTGACTTATTAGTACTTAAATATATTATGATTTTGGTTTCCTCTGCATTGAAAGGGAATTGTGATACATACAAAAATGACTTTATCTTAAGTGGAATATTAATTTTTTTCCCCTTTTATTTTTCAGATTGATGTGAGGTTGTCAAGATGGGATACCGTCAGTTGGTTGAGACTAGTCTCTACCTATGGGTGTGGTGTTTATGTCTTCCACTTTCCTTTAATGCACAGTCTACTTATATGTCGCCTTTAAATACAGAGAATTTTAAATTCTCTTACAATGTGTATAATGTATCTATACGAGAAAACTCCTACGGGAAAACCTATGTTACCTCATATGAAAAAATGGGCATTCCTATCTATAACTCAATAATAGAAAATTTAGAACTGAAATATACCCTTGAGGGTGATGGCCATAAAATATTTAAAGCAGAAGAACATTTTGTTGGGGATTTTTGTTTTCTGCGAGTGCGGACTTCAACGCGCATGACAACTAATATAAATCGGGAAGCTCGATCGCAGTATCATCTGCGTGTGTCGGCGACAGCTACATATGCAGACAGTAACAAAGTGCCCGTACAATTAAAAACGTCAGCTGATCTCATAGTGGATGTATTGGATGAAAATGACTTAAGTCCACTTTTCGATCGTAATTTCTACAGTGTTGATGTGCCCGAAAACACTCCATTGCATAGTAGCATTGCTCAAGTTTCAGCCTCAGATGCTGATACAGGTATCAATGGGGAAGTTTATTTTCGTTTTGCCAAAAGGACAAGTAAATTTGCTATTCATCCAACTAGTGGCATTGTTACTTTAACTCATCATCTCCAATACAGCTACCAAACCGTTTATATCTTAGAAATTTATGCTAGTGATCGTGGACCATTATTTCGTAAAAGTCCAAAACCAAGCGTCCATACACGTTTGGAAATCACAGTGATGCCTGTCAATTATCATGCACCAAGCATCAAAGTGCAAAATCATCCATCAATTATTGAACATGGAAATTTAGGCAGTGTTTACGCCATTCTCATGATTATGGACCCCGATGATAGTGCCAATGGTCATATTGCCTCCGTTGATATTGTTGACGGAAATCCAGATAATATGTTCAAGATTGTACGTGGTGCCGAGCTGAACTTGTATAATATTGTTGTCATGGGTGGTCTTGATAGAGAAACATCACCGTATGGATACAATCTGACAATCGATGCTATCGATCATGGAACACCTCCTAAAACAACACAAACTATCGTGCCAGTACGCATTCAGGACACTAATGATAATGAACCTAGATTTAAACATGAATTATATGAAACATCTATATCCGAAATTGTACCTCTAAATACCCCAGTTATTATCGTTGATGCTGTTGACAGTGATTGGGGTAAAAACTCAGAAGTGGTATATACAATAGCTGGTGGAAACCAAGATAACCTTTTCAAAATCAGTGAACAATCCGGGTTAATCAGCACCAATTCTTTCTTAGATGCAGACAAAATTGATGGAGTAGTACTAATCATTCATGCAGAAGATCAGGCCAATCCGGGTGCCAGAAAATTTAGTGAAGCCAAAGTGAAAATCAATTTTCTTGACTACAATGACAATTGGCCAGTTTTTGACAAGAGTAAATATGAAGGTAAAATTGAAGAAGATCAACCAGAGGGAACACCGGTATTGACGATTGTTGCTCATGACAAAGATTCAGGTGATAATGGAACAATCATCTATTACATTCCCAACTCTCATTTACTTCCATTTGAAATTGATCAATTTTCTGGCAAAATCAAAACTAACGCAATACTTGATTATGAAACCATGGCTAATGAATTCAAAATTACTGTCCGTGCCTCTGATATGGGTGTTCCCTTTCGACGGGAAGTGGAAACAATTGTTTCTATTAAGTTACAGAATATTAATGACAACAGTCCAGAATTTGAGGCCGTAAATTGTACAGGCTTCATGCTTCAGGAAACGGCTAAAGATACTCAGATTACAGTATTAACGGCAATAGATATGGATGCCGTTGATGTAATTAGTTATCGCATTATCGATGGTAACGGGTTAAATTGTTTTGGAATTGAACCATCAACAGGTGCTATTTTCTTAAAATGTGATGTCTCTCATTATCCTGATGTCGATAGTTTTAGTTTAATGGTGGCTGCGACAGATGATAAACATTTCTCAAAACCCACTACTATTAATATGACTGTAATGAAAAGCAAGCAAGATTTACCACAGGATATTAGTATAACTTGTACAGAAACAGATGTGAAAAAACGACTAGAAAAAAATTATCAATTACAAACATCCTCTAGAAATCAGCATGTGAATGATGTATCCCCCACCCCAGAAACACTCCTGGCCAATGACCATACTCCAGAATTTAAAGCAAACATTCCTACATATATTGAAGTACAGGAGGATTTAGAAGTAGGTTCAACAATAACAATGCTACAAGCAGATGACCCTGATTCTGGTTATAATGGCAAATTGGTTTATGGTATTGCGAAGGGTAATAAAATGGGAGCTTTTAAGATGGACACTTTTAGTGGAGCTTTGAAATTAATGTCTTCCTTAGATCGCGAAACTACTGCCAGCTATCAGTTAGATATAAGTGTTTTCGATCTTGGCTTTCCTAGTAAAAACATGACAACGACCCTTCGTATTGGTGTCAGTGACGTCAATGACAATAAGCCAATTTTTGATAAAGAATCGTATGAGGTCGATATTTCTGAAGATCAGCTTATAAATACAACAGTTATTTCTATCATGGCTAAGGATGCTGATTTGGGTCCCAATTCTCGAATTCATTACTCAATTTTAACTGACACGCAGAAGTTTAACATTGACCCAACTGGTGGTATAATTCGAGTCAACCAACCCCTAGATAGAGAAAAACAAAGTGTTCATAAGTTGATGGTACAGGCAGAAGATTCTGGAACATCTGTTAAGTTGGCTTCTCAGATACAAGTTGTCATCAATTTAGATGATGTCAATGACAACACACCTAATTTTGTTCCCTCCAATTACATGGTCAAAGTTCGTGAAGATTTACCTATTGGAGCCCTTGTCACTATTTTAACTGCTGAAGATTTAGATAGTGGTAAAAATGGACGCATAACTTACACTATCCAACATGGGGCAGACGGTAAATTTGAAATTGATGCAGAAACAGGTGTGGTTCGCATTGCTGGTACTTTAGACTATGAAGATAAGCAGCTTTATAATGTAAGTGCTCGGGCTGAAGATGGTGGAAATCCCCCATTAGCGACTGGCTGTCTAATAAACATAGAAATAGTGGATGTGAATGAGAACTATATTCCCCCAAATTTTGATAATTATGTAGTGGTAGGTCAAGTTAGAGAAAATGAGAAGATTGGAACCTATGTTATGACTGTTGTAGCAAAAGATGATGATGGTATTCCTGGTAAAGACCCTATCATATACTCTATACGAGATGGTTCAGGATTAGGACGATTTACCATTGATGATAACGGTAAGTACTATATACATTATTCATCAGTTCAATTATTGACTTTAAAGGATATGATGACAGTTTAATTTTGACCTTTGATTTTATGCCATTTTGTACTGTTCAGGGCAACTGTAACCTCACAGTCAACCCAATCAGTGAGAAAAAAGGGATGAAAATGAGATCAATTTTATTAACGCTTAGTGATAAGATTTTTTCACCAAGATCATGAACTTAAGAGTTAATACTTTAAGCTTATACAATGTATAGTATCAATTCGCTTTGATCAATCACATCTTAAGTGTCAAACATAGCCAGGGTCATATTAACCCAGTTGGAAATATTTGAAGTCACAAATGTAGATTGTTCAGTCCTAGTATTGTACTGTTATTTCAAAAGAATGCCAAAAATTGACAACACACACAACTTTACGACTTGTAAATAAAGCCATGAGGAGCAACATTATCCATACACGTACATTACAGTACATGCACAAGGATAATAAAACAGGAAATTAGTACATACATGTACATGTACATACATAACAGTATGTATTGTTTTAATTTGAGTAAGGTACTGGCTCTGCTCCCTATCCTTGAGGTCCCTGGTTCCATCCTGATGTTGGACGATATAGTTCCTTGCGATTTTCTGACATGGTAACCCCTTTTCAGTGGTGAAGGACAGGGGGCTGGGAAGAAACAGTGTCTAGTGGTTCAGATTGTACTGAAAAAACAATGTCCTGGGTACACATAAAAGAAGCCTTGACAGTTGGAATTCCATGGCTATCAGGACAAAATTTCCCTTGTGACACACTGCATGGCATATGCCCGTACTTATTAGCTTGGTTAGATCAGAACAGTAGGATGTTAAACCCCCATTTCATTTGTCTTGTCCGCAGGTTTATCTTATATGTTTTGTGTGTGTGGTGCTGTATACATGTATAGTTAACTTAATTTAATAATCAGTTCACAGAAAATTGAATGACATTTCAAAGTGTTTTTTGCAGAGACAAATGTGTGTGATGTGTTATTTATATTAAAATTTATACAGTGAATTGACATAATACATTTTTGCATCAACATGCATTTTCAGCCATTTGATATTTTGACGCAATGTTGTAACAACAGATAACTTTTATAGGACACTAATAAAAACTTTCAATAACTATTGACCTGGCAATCACTCTGGGGTAAAGGTCAATGAATTAATGTGCCACAGGTTGACTGCATGTATGAAATGTATGTATTTTTATGATAAGTATGTGTTATGGTACTTAAAGGATTATTTCATCATTATTAATAGTATGATCAATAGATCCATCATATTTTGAATGATGTATTGATAAGTTTAAATTGCTTTACTTTATAGTTGTGTACATGTACTTAAAGGATTATTTCATCATTATTAATAGTTTGATCAATAAATTTATCATATTTTGAATGATGTATTGACAATTTTGAATTGCTTTATTTGATAGTTTATTACAGGCCCTTTTTCCATTAATTGAATTGCAAAATATGATGATGAAAAATAAATTTAAGTGAATGAAACACATGGGTCAAAAATTAAAAATACAATGGTGCATAAACTAAAATTCTTCATTCATGTACATGTAAAGATACTTTCCCACATACAAACTGTGTGATTTGATGATATATTTGAACTGAAAAAAACATATTCAAACTAATTAATCTATCAACAATTTGTGTCAAATCCCTCTTAAAATTTTGTATTCGTTGGGAGATACAGCATGCTATAAATAAACTGTTGTTGGATGCTATGTCAGTCAGCTCAATTCATTGAGGGAGGGTCCATAATAAGCTGGCAGACAACAGTCAAGTTGCTAGTTAGTGATATTCTGACATTTTTGCACAGTGCGTGCACAATATTTTCTAGTAAGACTAGGGGTCAATACTTTCCATAAATACCAAATTTGCCATACTTTTATTGGAAATAACCACCCGATAAGTACATGTACTTTCTTTAATATTGATATTTGACATATGCAATTGTTAAAATTGTTTTAAAAAAATAGTTGAGATATGGACATGTAGCTTTGAAGCTGGCACTTGTACATACATGTTGTAGCCTCCATAGCATTCATTTTCCCCAAATAAGTGATTGAAACTAAAAAAAATAGAAGACTCCATAACAACTGAAATAGCAACTTAGAATTATGTGTACTGGTACATGTATGTAGTAATTGATGTAAATTATTTAAACTCTCTAAATTGACAAATATCTCTCATTTAAAAATGTGGTGCCAACTAGTGAACGGAAAAGAAGCAAAAGTTCAGAAATAAAAGAATGTAATGTTTTATGAATTGAATAAATAGATATATATGTACATGTATACATGTATATGTAACTTGAACCATTTATACTGAAAATCATTATTTTAACATTGAGGGTTTATACGAATTTTGTAGTTTTATGGATATCCGTCCTTCCTTCTGTATTATAAATGTCATCATGGCAGACATAGCAGACGTCAAATTTTCTTGCTAGGTGTTATAAATATGTCAGTTTTGTTTGATAAAATGTTATCCAAACCTAACCTACATTTAACCGAGGTATAAGTCAGAGCTTTTCTCATTGAACAGGTAGTTGTTCAGTTTGGATAGCCATTTAATCCAACAAAATACTCCCTTCTAGACCAATGTTTTACAAAATATTTACACTGTCTGACAGAGATGTGGACTTACCTTAAGATTTGCTTGTGATATTCATACAGACTCTTTTAAAATTTAATTAACTTTTAAGAGATGCATGTACAGTAGTATAGTATGTGTTTTGCTTTTGGTTTGCCTTTGAATATGGTTTCAAAATATTTGATTAAAATTAATTAGTTTATAGTCCATAAGATTTTGTGAATACTATTTGTCTGAAGTTAAGTGAAAAGGCTACATTCAATGTTTATAATAATTGATAGCTGAGCTGACATAAAAGTTACTTTTAATTCAGCTTTTAACTTGTGATCGTGTGGGGTAGATACGTGTATGCATTAACTACATGTAGATGTGCGACACATTTTAGCTTTTGAGACAATTAAACAAATATTGAAATACCTTCAGAACTAATGATTTACTTTGTAATTTTTCCTAACGGTAACAAAGAAAATAATTCACATATCTGTCTCTGGGTTCATAATTATAGATTCCATTATGAGAAGTGACATATTGCACTTAGAATTTTATTATTCAGTACTTTGCTGACCTACCACTGACTTCAGAATATTGATTCTAACAATATTAATAAACCATTTGTCGGTAAAACGTTCTTTGACTGAGAGTTGACTCTTGCGAAGGCTTCGTTTTGGTAGATGTATCGTGACCGCTTGCCTTTTGCTGGCGCAAGTTTCCGGCAAGTTTGATACAATGAGCAGCAGTTGTCTTTGTTGTTAAAATCTGGAGAATTTGTATGCTCATTCATTTATAACATTATTATCACAGTGTTTGATCTTAAGCCAACCACATGGGTCTAGCGAGCATTTGCATTTATTTTGTTTACTTTAACTAATGATGCTGATGGCTCATCCAGAACTGCCTTACTTGCTTTATTATAAATAAAATTGCTGGAATGTTGTATGGCTTTTTAATTATATCCACCGATTCCCTTGATAACAATTGTGCATGCTACAATTTTTATTAAATGTCATTCTTAATTGGAACATTTTGGGACGGAATTGAGAATGGGTCTCGGGAGAAATGAAATCAATCTTTAAGACTGAAAGTTGAGATGTGAAATATTGATACACCTGGGATATAATGGACACAGATTCATTTCAAAATTTATAAAGATTCATATTCCTTTTAATAGTTTAGGTGAAGCAATCAACTATAGAGTTAGTGTATTTGGTCCATTGATGCCAATTCAAAATTTGAATCATAATAAGGTTTTCTGCAACTTGTCATTTTTATACGCCCACATGGAAATGTGGTTGTACATGTATATTGCCGTCGCCCCCGTCCGTCCACAATTTCTTGTGAACACTCTACAGACTACATTTATCATCTTTTTGTTTTGAAATTGATATATGTTGATTGCATTAGTGAGATGAAGAAGCCTATTTAATTTCAATAACTTCCGTTAATTTCTTCTGGAGTTATGGCCCGTGTTTCACTTTGTTGTACCTTGTGAATGCTCTGACGACAAAAGTTATTATCGGATCTGTATGAAATTTATATGTATCGTTTAAATTAGTAAAACAAACAAGCCTATTGAGTTTCAGCAAATTTCCGTTAATTACATCTAGAGTTATGGCCCTTTGTTGGATCTTGTGAATGCTTGAACGACAAAAGTTATCACTCAATCTGTATGAAATTCATATGCCTCATTTAAATTTGTGCAATGAAGAAGCCTATTGAATTTTAGCAATTTCCATCAATGACTTCTAGAGTTATGGCCCTTGTTTTACTTTGTTGAACCTTGTAAACGTTCGAACGACAAAAGTTATCATCCAATCTGTACGAAATTTATATGCATTATTTGAATTAGTAAAACGAAAAAGCCTGTCGAATTTCAACAATTTCTGTAGATTACTTCCAGAGTTACAACCCTTGGTTTAGTTTTAAAAACCTTTTGAACCCTGAAACGACCAAAATTATAATGTCATCTGTATGAAATTGTCTATTAAATGCCCCTAATTACCTACAAAAGACTAAATATGCGACAACCCTTGTCGACCGCTCAGATGATTTAGCCGCTGTGGGAATATGTTTTGTTGCCTGACAACCTATCTTTAGGACAAATTGTTGAGTATTTGAACACCCAAATTATCTAAATTGGTTTATATCGGATAATCTTTTTTCGATCTTAGTGCTTTAGAGATACAAACAATAAAACCCATGCCAACTTGAACAAAAACCAACTTATCCCATATTTGTGGCACAATTTATGAAATGTCTGATTGTCAGAAAGATATAATGTGTAGTTTTAAGAATTTTTCTTTGATTTATTTTGGAAACTCATCTTCATGTGTTGAAAAGTGAACCGAATGTACTGTAGTAAAGTACAGTACACGTATTTGCCAAAAAAAAGCCTGAGTTGTACAGAGTTCCATGTGTGTAATGCCAACTACTTTAACATGTACCACATAACTTCTTATACTATTTTCATAGGCAATGGTGGAATATCTGGAGAGACATACATACATATTGTTATGCATTTAAAAGGTTAATTTGCAATATTTGGCAAACACACTGCACATAATATGTCAAATGGTTTACAGTTTCTTTAGAATATAGCGATGTGTATCTACAATCTGTGGTGTATCATAGAAAAAAAATATTCTTTGAGATAATTAAGAGAGAATAGTCCTCCTTATAAAAGAATGAAAAATATGTGAGATTTGGGTTCAAATTGTATTCTTGTGACAGGGTTGAACAAAAGAATATTTGAAGCTGTTTGAAGTGCTGTATTACTCCATTGAAATTTTAGTTTATAGGTGTGTATTATATGCAGATAAAAGCTCTTATCATAAGTTAAACAATACCTTTCAGATAGAAAATGCAGCAAGCATGAGATATACTTACTGTAAAACAATAAGCCACTTTGTTCATTTTCTCACCAGTGAATTTTAAATCTAAACCAGATTTCACATATTTATAGAAAGTATATTAAGTACATACATGTATATAACTACCAAATGATTAAATACATATTTTTCAATAAGATATAAATGTAATATTTTATTTGGTTTGAATTAAAATTCAAATTGACATGATAATTCACCAATTCTATTTGATGTAATGAAATACAGACACAGGTATTGTGTAGATAGATCCCAGTTGGCTTAAAGCTTTAAAGAAACTTCCCATAGTAGAATTTATGGTGGAGTAGTTTATGATTACCACCTACATGTTCCATCAAAAATATGTAGGTTACAACACCTGTTATCTTGGAAATAGAAATGTCCCAGTGTTTGGCGAATCCCTTAGCAGTAGAAATTTTAGAAATAGGAAGAAGTCTCATAAACAAGGCCAATTTCTCATTGTACAGTGCACATAGCTCTGTAGAAAATAGTGCTGAGCGATATGTTTTTCTTTAAAACCCATGATAAAAACTGTAGTATACTGTATATCGCTAAATCGCTTTTCAATTTCAATGCTGAAAAAAAAAAATCGTAATATTCATATTTTTATCATTTATTTGATAATGAAACTGATAATATAATACTATAATTGTGTCTGATGTGTGCGTAATTCAATAAGTAAATCACAGCATCCGTCTCTAGAGTACGTCAAAGATAAGATCAGCATTGAAAATGCTTTTATTTTATTAACATTTTATGGCATAAAGGTCCATTGGGATGTCCTTGCAAAATGATTCTTGATACTTAAAAAACAGTGGTCGGTTGGATGGAGAGAGGGGGAAAGGGAGGGCATACACCCCACCTATTTTGGGTAAAAGCGATGTTCTTTGGTCTTTCATTCATTAAAAATGACTTCAATCCCTTGATCGCCACTAAGGCTCTGTCAAATTTGTCCTTTAACCTACATGTAGATACACAACATAAAATAGCTTATCCTTTATATCGTGATATGCATGTAAGTACCAAATATTCAAATTTTCCCATATTGTTGAAAAACTGACAAAACAATGGCAGTATGGGGATCAAACATTGTGTGGTCTTCACATTGAAACTAAATAGCTTCCATAATGAAGGTTGATTTATTTACTGAAGTAACATCTATGTTTTGCTAATTATTATTAATTCATGCGAGCAACTAATAGTTCTCTTCTAATCTGTTTACATTCTGCTAACTGCTGTACTTTTGTGTACGTAAATAATTACTTGTGGGTGACTGAATGGTCAGACCTGAAAATCTTCACAACTGTGGTCAATTTTTTTACTTTAAGAACTAGATACATGTGTGAAAAGTAAAGGCTGATATACGAAACATGCATGTGTATCAGGAATTTTTTATATGAAACAATATCCGTCAGTTTCTATGACTGACCTTACACAAGTACGTTACCAACATCATGTTCTCCTAAAATAGATATAGATGCAGGTTTAATATGTCATGTACAACATGTTGCATGGTGAATACGGTACCATCTGTATTAACAAATTATGACATTTAGACATTAAAAACACCATCTGAATCTCAGAAAACTAGTGTTTGCATTGATAATAAAACTTGTCCTACATTGATACATTAAATACAAATACTTAACCATTATTTAACATAAAATTTAATTGACAGTCAAAATTAATCCTGGATAGGCTATATTTATATGTTTATTATCAAGTACTAACTAGGCCGTCACAGCGATTGATCTAAATGCACTTTCTTGGATTATTAATTATTGGAGGTGGGGTCTTCGTGAAAATTATGAGTGTATATTTGCTTTAGATTCATCATAAAACTGATTTCACTATTTTAATATTTAAAATTTTAAGATATTTTTCAGTTTTAGATATTTAGATGTTATAACATTTATAATTACAGGTGACATTAGAACTACCCAGGTTTTAGACAGAGAAACTACATCACACTACTGGTTAGCTGTATACGCCCAGGATCGTAGTCTGGTACCACAGTCATCTAGATTAGAGGTTCTCATCAACGTGGTAGATGTCAACGACAATGTTCCGATGAGCGTTGAACCAGGATATTACACATCTGTAGCGGAAGGTGAAACAGACAGGAATATTGTTAAAATTCTAGCGATAGATTACGACTACAATCCTAATGAACGTCTGTATTTCAAAATCACTGGAGGAAATCCACAGAATTTTTTCCAGATACATGAAACTGATGGTAAGTAAATGTTATAGTTTGTATAAAAAGTATTCATGCCATTTATTGTTCTAGAAGGTGAACCAGATAAATTCTTGGTCCGGTTTAGAGATTTGATTATCCAGTATCTAAATGACCTAGAAGTCAGGTGGGCTGAAGGCATTTTACACCAACTGTAGTTGTTAGTATTATTTACAAAATGGTGTGCTAAATCAAATTTTGTGCTTCTTGCAGAAACCAATTTTTTTCCCAACTTAATGTGGTGAGCATGCATCGTTACTGAATCAATTATTGCAACATGTTGTGTTTGATATTGGTATTACTTTGATGTTATGGTTCTCACGAGATTGAATATGGCTGCTTTACGCTCAGCGACAAGATATAATTTCCTATCGTGCATTTGTGGTCAATAGCTGTATCAAACAAAAAATGTTCGTTGAAACAGATGCAGAAATCAATGTTGTGAATTTATTTTTGCACTTCAAAAATTCTATCAACTTGTTCATAAAGATCCATTCATTGTAAGATGTTTCCCCTATACTGTTTTCCTTTACTGTCATGTATTTTCTCTGATGTACGTTGCTTTTAATATTTGTGCTTCTATTCAGTTTTCTAGTCTTCACATTTGCCAAAAACCAGTACAATTAATCTACCACACATACATTTAATGTTTATCTTCACTTGTATTCATGAAATTACATAGAAATGATTTAATCTTACATTAAATAATTACATGTACAGTCATCTTGTTGACTGACTTTCTGTGCATGTAGGTCGCATTATTCAATAGCCTACATTGAATAAACTTTAAAGAATTAAACTCCCGCACAGTTTTCTTATGATTCTCCCATTCATGAAAAATAAGGATTGGGCACGAACAATTGATATCAAAACACATCATTTTAGGATGTCAAAACCAACTATTATGTTTTTGAGCAATGGTTATGATTAAATTACACTCAAATTTCATGAACAATGTTATCTATAGATTAGCTGACACATTAGTTCAATGGGTTTTTTTTAAAAAGATTTTTTTTTTCTTCTGTGTGTAAATTTTATGAATGAACAGTTCCTCTGGGGGTAAAAATTAACATAAAATGAATTAAGTGTCATTTATTTTATTAATGAAAAGCATGAAGTGACAAGAAATAGGACTCAAAAAGCATTTGCTTTCTTTAATTCTTCTAAAGAATGAAAATCTCTTATGGAGGTAGAAATTCCCTTGAAGCATTGTGTCAATAAATATGTCTCACATAATGATTCAATGACACTTAATGCCATTTTATTCCTAGGAATTATATACTTTCAAACCTTACACACGCAAAAAAGAGTCCATGTTCCTGAAGCAACGACCGCGAGTTTTACAACATCTAGTCGTTGCTTCAATACTCAACAATTCCCGAATTTTTGCGCTCGTTGTGTTTACACGTGACTAATTAGCATTGTCCAATCAGAGGTCTTGGCACGTAACACACTGTAAACAAATATGGCAGCCTCCATAGAAAAAGAAATAGACCTGTTTACAGCCTTTGTTGATTAACCATGATTTCTAGCAACCTTGACATTGATCGAACATTGAACTTTGCAACTCGATTGTCACATGTAGACATTTTAGCTAGACGCGCGAGACTTGATAATCGTAACCATATTTTTAACGAAGGAATCTGATAGGAACACAAGCTGGGCTTGTAACCAATCGAAATTAGTGCTAAAAAATGCGGGGTATTACGAGAGTCGTGAAGGGCTTGATAAGATGTACGTAGTTAAGGCGAGATCAAGCCTTCTATTGAAGATGAAAAGAGTCATGCCAAAAAACATGTTGGTATAAAAATTATTAAAATCAATCAATTCTAACATAAGTTATGGTCATCTAAAGTTCACATTGATATACCACCATCTTTATAGTCTTAGTCATGTCATCTAACGACTGAAGATTAAATCATATCTATTCATGAATGTCGACCTCAATATCTTTTGATAAGTATCTAACCAAGTTTTTTGGTTTTAATTGCCAAAACTATGTGTACTGAACACTTTTCAGTCCTTAATTTTGTTAAATTTATATGAAGGAAAATTATTGACCTTCTGGTGTATTGTGACTTTCAAAGTATTTAAAATAAGGTGGTATTCTAATTAATATTAATCATATTATAATGTCAACTTCATTACATTTGACATGTCAAAGTGTCAACAGTGGTTGTAATAGGTTGTTATTTATTATTCAATGTAAAGAATATTTCAGCCTACTGCCACTTGTCTGATGTCATCCATTACTAATCTAATATAAGTAAGGTTAGGTACACAAATCACACAATATATAATCATAACACAATATACTTATAACATAAGTAAACAATATACTACAATACTTTGAACTTACAGATAAATAACACTCCTTCAATCCTCTTATGATTGCTACATGTACATATACATGTATGTGCAGTGATGTACTAAGGGGGTGCATCATGCTGCCAGATTTTAAAAATGTCTGCTTGATTATGTTTATTGCATGTTAAGTTTTACACCAATATTTTCATGTCGACGGATATCCGTCTGTCTACAATTTGTTTGTGGACACTCTACAGGTCGCAAATTTTATAGGCCAACATTTTCATGTGGACGTATTATGCCTTAGCTCCTGTCCGTCCAGGCGTCTGTCCACAATTAGTTTGTGGACAATTTTTATCCGATTTTGACGAAACTTAAAATTAGGTCTTTCACCCACAAATCTCGGTTCCTTTAGATATTGACATGTATTGGACCATAAAATCCTGGGTTATGGCCCCTGATTGTACGTTTTTAGCTTGTGGACACTCTAGATGACAATTTTCATCTGATTTTGATGAAACTTGATATATGTTTATAACCCAAAGATCTTGGTTCCTTTCGATATGCGCGAATCTTAGCTTTCTGAATTATGGCTACTGATTTTTTGAAAAATCATGTTTTTAGCTTGTTCTCTATCCATCCCTTGCAAAATTTTGGTGTATCTTGCCTGGCAATCGCTGGTTACTCAATTTTGACGAAACTTGAAATAAAGGTTTATCTGCAAAAATCTTGGTTCCTTTCGTCGAAATGGACATGTTTCGGACCGTAACTTCATGGATTATGGCCCCTGAGTGCATGAAAAAAATCATGATTTTAGCTTGTGGATACTCTAGAGGTCACAATTTTTATCTAATTTTAAAAACTGTTTTAGTATATCACCGTTACACCATAAAGGAGGCTTAGTTTGAATTTCTGGAAAATTGAAACGAAACTGCCCAACAAAATGGCCGTTACTTGTACACAAATAGTGTAAAAGTATGTAATACGAAGGTTGTGGACCCTGTTTATATATGTTTATATCCCAAAGATCTCAGTTCCTATCGATATTCGTGCATTTCAGATCATAACTTACTGGATTATGGCCCCTGATTGTACGAAAATTCTCTTTTTTTTTCCCGCTTGTTCTCTGTCCAACTCTTGCAAAATGTGGGCGTATCTTGCACAGCACGGCATGATTTGCGAGGGTGCATTTGATCATACTAATGTTTGACCATTGTGGCAAATACTCTACTGCTTATTTGTTCTGTATTAACTGGGCATTAGATTTTAAACTTTTAAAGGAATAGTTAAGTGATTTTGTTTTGTGGTTTATATGTCCTGAGCATTCGTTTTTAAAGCACGGTTTATATATAACTGATCTGGTTTTCAATATCAATGGTTTAAGCCAAAAACTAAAATTATTATAACTACAGACTTCTTTTAACAGTAAAACAAAATCAAAATTTAATAGTTATAGAGCGTGACCCACAAGACTTTATTTGGTAATCAACAGAATTCAAAACTTTACTTTGACCCAAAAAGAGTTTGGACTGCTTCTTGACATAAATTTTAAGATATTAAACATTTGTCATTTTCTTATCACAAGAAGAGATTAAATATAAAAACATTTGATAGTAACTACATGTCCTGTACTTTTAACATCTAACATTAACACGACTTTTGCACTTGGAGACATCAAGACATTTGTTTGTCATACAGAAAGACAATTACCTGGGCTGAGAGATCAATTTTTTAAACATAAATCTTAAAAGCTATATAAAACTTGTACTTTGAAGACCCAACTTATTTTCACATACAAGAAATACAAATTTATGTATGTAATTTGTAGACTATAGATGTACAGATTATAAAGGATGGGAAAGCAGTTGGTTGGACACAGATGTGACTATATAAATACAATTTTACTGTCTAATTTACATTGTATTTATGTTATTACTTATCTAACTTTATTATCTATATGAAATGTATATTAACTGTGTGAATGAATGAATACTATCTCAAATCTATCATTAGGCTATTTAAGGTTTCATATTATAATTTATACATGTATATCATTTATGCAGCATAATTTTGTTGTGAAGGTATTAAAATGGAATGTATATTGTTTGTTATATAAGTATTTATTTAGGTAATGAAGCGTGAATGTAATTATATGATACCAGCTTTATTTCTCCTATAGAGGTGTATTATTATAAAACTAACTATAATATCATGTAATATCGCCTTCTATCGATAACGCCATATTATCTAATTGGAACATTGACCGTCTACATACTGTATCGTTCATATTGAATATAATATATAAAGACTCAGGTGTGAATTTAGAAATGTTATATTAAAAAACAACTGAAACTAGAATAATTATTCATATTGAGTACAAGTATTTTAAGTTTTGATGGTCATCAATTAGACTACTTGTCTTGGGTAAATGCCAAAATGATTGTGGCGCAATGTTATCGTTATTCTAATCAGTCACCAAATATTCAAACAAGAGCTATCACCATACCAAAATTTGACATAAAAAAACCCTTTTACTTACATACACTGTTATATTATTTATTTGTCCCAAATTTCCCTGAAGCATACATAATTTGAACCTGCTCAGGGCTACTAATGATAAACAACTATGATCTCTCTGCATTTTGATGTTTAGATTTTAATGGCCTTATAACTTGGAATGGCTGTAAGCTAAA